CCAGTACGAGAACCATTTCAGCGTTAAGCTGCACGAAGAAGGCACCAAGATCGACGATGCGCTCGGCCAGATTTACGCTCGCCTCTTCCAGTCTTACACGCAACCCATCAGCAAAAAGCTCTCCCAAGTCATCCGTGCTGGCATCTCGAGTCCCGATTGGGAGCCTGCCACTCCGCAACCACAGGACGCCCGAGGCTACGTATACGACGTGCTGCTAGAGCTCGTTGTGGTGCACACGCAGGTGTCGACGACAGCACAGCCGCTGACATCGCAAGTGCTCAAGTACCTGTTGGAGCAGGTGAGCAAGCACCTGATCGAGACGTTCAAGGCGCGCCCGCGGTACAACCTCCCCGCGCTCGTGCAAGCGACCCTGGACGTCGAGTTCCTGGCCCAGACACTCGGCAACTATACTACGGACAAGACGAGCGAGATCCAGAGCTCGATCTATTTGGCTTTGGATGAGCGCACGGACAATGACGCCAGGGTCAGGCTTCAGTCGGAGCTGTCTGAGCTGAGAGTCATCTTGAAGAAGCTGCGGGAGGCGACGAAGAGTGAATTGTAAGTAAACCATCCTTGTGTAAGAGGCGATGGATGTTGTGCTAATGCTTGCGGGTGCAGTGCGTGCTTCAAGAGGCCTAGGAGCCATACCAAGTCGACGGATCGGCGCAGTGTAGAGTGAATGAGGTTGGTGAATTTTGTTTAGATAATAGCTATGATGAATTTAGTGATTGCTTGTTCGTACTCTGTGACTGTCATATTCATATATATATAATGTACGCATCTTTGGGTGAGTGAGACAAGTCTTTGTCCAGCTGAGACAGTCCTTGTGCAGTCTTTATAAGAACCTGTTGCCTCGCCACTTTCAACTTCCAGCACCTTCTTCCATTCTGTCTTTTCCTCCCCATCGGTGGACAGCTGCTTCGTGGCGTCCATCATCCACGATGGATGCTAAGGCGTGGCAAGTCGTTCCCGCTTTGCACTCGTCGTGGAAAGGCTTCGAGTGGCCACTCGTTAAGCGCATTTTCGAGACATGGCGTCGCATTTCCATGAATGCCGTAGAGCTTGGACTTGTTCCCGCTATGGACCTCAACGAATGCCAGTGCATTTCCTACGAAAAGCTTGATGAGACCAAGCACAAAGTGGTAGGTTTGATTGCGTCAAATTTCTGACAAAATTACTAACACTTGCCAGGCCCAGTTTCTTGTCAGAGTCTTAGGCAGCAACCCTTACACAGACGACTGGTTTTGCGATGTCGCTTGGATGAAGTATGAGACGACCAATTACTGGGGTGTCCAGTTGCGTGTTTGGTTCACATCGGATGAAGCGTTGAAGATGACCACAAGGTAAGAACTTCAACCATATACTTGCCTCTCCACCTCTAGCATGACTGACCTGATTTTTAGCTCTATCCCCGAGGACTTTGGCTCGGCTTTTGAGTCGTCTATTGCTTCCAAAACTTCGATGGACACGACCTACAGAAACTCTGATGCGCAAGACACAATGTCACTCCAGGAGCGGAACGAGCTTATCGACCTCGCCGGTTTGCACGGCTTGATATCGTTCCGGCGTCCTCACTCCGGCAAGAACTCTGGCACCAAGGTCTCCGAGAAGTGCTCGACTAGAAGCACCAGCAAAGCCGACGGCGCCAAAGACTCTAAGGATGCCACAAAGCCCAAAGAAGTCTCGACGGAAAATAGCAAAGGCACCAATGTTGGAAGCAAGAGAAAGTCAGCGGACGCGGTTCAGCGCCCAGCCAAGCGAATCAAATCACAGAAACCGACGCCGCAACCTCGTCCTCAGAGCGCTCGAGTCGACAAGCAAACTTCTGCTCACTCACGCAAACAGTACCAGGCTTATGCGGAGTCTGACGATGACTCCGAGACCGGAAATCCAGACATCAAGCCCGAGCCTGATAGTCAACCATCCAGTCCGCATGCTAGCAACAGGTCAGCAGTGAAGAAGGTCAAGGGAAAGGTCGTCGAACCTGTGATTGCGGGCAAGGACATGGTTAACCGGAATCTCGAAGAACCTGTCGAGAAGTTGGAGGCGGAGAATGCAAGACTCAAGTCTTTGTTGCGCAAGTGATGGACTGATTGTTCAAAGCTCTACAGAGCTATTCTTGCGTAATATGGCGATGGAACATGCATGGATCAAGATTGGCAATTGGTTCTGGTTCTTCCCTTGCACTGAAGTTGTCCTCTTGTTCCCCTTTCGGGTCAGTGGCCCTTCTGACACCAAAGACTTCCTTTGCTTGCTTTCATTTCTAGAGACACACAAAGGCCTAGTTGGCAGCTTTCTTTGGTACAAATGGAACAAGGTCGACGATTCTTCTAATTTGCCGGGGATGCTCAACGCGATGGTGATTTGAGTTTCTTAAGACCAAGCAGTACTGTTTCAAACAGTGCCATGTGCAACTAAACAAGAGACTATCTGAATCTCAACAGGATGACTTGGAAGTCTTTTGAGGGCTGACCTTAAAAGCAGTTGATGTGAGTTCTGCCCGGTTCTACGTCCACAGTTTACTTGCCAGCCCCCCACGCCGCCAACCTCTCTCTAAAACCATACCACTTCTCTCCCCTTCATCAAACCTCACCTTCTAGCCAGCTTTCCCAACCATTCCACAGCCATGGCTCCAGCAAGTCCGCTCAAGGTGGGCCTCCTAGTGGCCCGCATCCACCAGTCATGGGAGCAAGACACTCTCGTCGAATGTATCTTCCACCTCTGGCAACGACTCTCAGCCAAATTCCAAGAAACCGGCCTCATCTCCGAAGAAAACGCCATCAAGAGCAACCTCACCACCAGCGACCAACATCTCCTCCTCAAGCAAGCCTTCGTAAGCCAGCCACGAACCTCATCCTCACCTCATCCACTGACAAATCAACCCCAGGCCTCAACCGCCCTCACGTTCATCGGCCGCCACCCGTCGTCCCATCAAAGCGCCTACGGCGTATGGATCAAGCCACACCACGCCAACCCACACAAATGGAGAGTCGAGCTCCAGCTGGTCTCACCAACGAAATCAGTCCAGCGCGAGTCCGTCGCAGACAAAGCAGGCAAGACAGTATTCCTCTCTGCTTTTCACCCCCGCCGCGCTCATGAGCCTGGCTGGTACTGCCCTATCCTTGACGAGTATGTCAGCCCGAGCGCGAAAGAGTGCGCAGAGCTCGCGGAGCTCAGCGGCCTGACGCAGATCGAGCTGGGTGGGATTGTTAACAGTATGAATGTCCGGGCCAGAAATAACGATGTCAAGAGGGTCGCGGTGACTAAGAAGCGCAAGTTCGTGTCGGAGACTGAAGAGTTGGGTGGTAAGGCTGGCCGCGCCGGGGCGGGTAGAGTGGTTGAGCGGGAGCGCGTGGTTAGAGAATGTCATCCGAGGGTTAAGAGGCGCAGGTTTGTGAGGGGTTGCAGGGTGGGTGGTGCTGGTACTGGAAGCGGCGAAGAGGCTATGGGAATTAAAGGTTGAGGAGTTAGATGAGAAGTAGGTTTGATGATGGGTGGGAATGGAATCTTCGACGCGCGGAACCTGGCAGAAGTGTCGGTGTCGAAAGGCGGGGGATGAAGGGTGTGTCATTAGACTTGCTGCATGTCGGGGAGTGCAAGTCTTTTCAAGCCTCATGGTAGAGTGGGCTCTTCGGTGTCGCCTTGCTACCCTCCGCGAAGTGGGAGATACTCCAAAGCCGGTTCATGTTCATGGAATTAGTTAACAACCGTCCATGCAAGTACAAATGAGAATCTCTTATTGGTTGGAACACCTCTTTTTCTGGTCGAATAGCGCCCGGTGAACTGAGCCAAAAATCGCAAGATAAACTTTGTAGCGTTGATATGATTTCTCTGCACATGAATGCCGGGTAGCGACAAAGTGAGAAAAGGAGACGTTCTAGAGTACACAATGAAAGCGTCATCAGCAGGCTGAAGTGCTTTCTTTTTAGACAGTTCTAATGCGCTACTTCTACTGGCTACCGTCTAGGTGGTAGTCACTGCGATGACAAAGAAGTATTGTTGCAGTGATGGTTAGGGAAACTGATGCAAGTTGTCGATGTTTTGTAGAGCTAAGTTTCCGTGCTTTCTTTCTCTTCTTTTTAACTGCTTGGGTGCCAATAAAGAAGTATTTATTATCCATTTGAGTCCTGGTCAGCTAACGATCGATGACTCAGAGCTGCTTGCCCCCTTCTTAGTATACTTCGTGCGGCATGGCATGCATTGGCAAATAGAGTCAACCACGGTTGAGCTGCCTGAGCCCAGGACCGTTAGTACAGCTTAACTAGCATGATGGAAGCCGCCACGTATGCGTGAAAGTAATCCCCGGAACTCTGAATAAGCTGTTGTCGCTGGCCTTGAGCTCGTCGGATGCCGTCTCTCATCCATGGAAGACCTTTCAACCCCGGAAAGTTGGAAAGCCAAGTCGCACACAAAGAAGCAAACAACAATTATGTACATAGCAAACCATTGAAATGTCCGTAAAAGGCCACTAGGTACCATTCAATTAGTATGACAATCCGATTTATCATATTCAATTCAACGCAACCACGCATGCTGACCTTCTTATCAACGCAAACCTTTTCGCCCAAGCCTCGCGTTATGACGGTTACCATGTAGGTAGTGGAGCGCTTTGCCTATTTTGCACCCAGGTGACGTCGCAGGTCTTGGGTTTGTCGCAGGCCGTTTCCCAACCAATATATTACAACCCTGGACGCCTCTGCGAGGGCAACGCAACAACGCCTGCTTAACCTCTTTTCCAAATCATATTCTTCCGCGCACACATCGCATCACGGCGGTATTCGAGGCAGTGAATTGTTTCGCTAGGCCTTGCTAGCCATCACCAAGCACGGGAGCGGCCGCCGCGGACTGCTTTCCGGCCCGCTGCAGTGGACACAAACACTCTGACCAGCTTCCAACAGCACCAACTTGGACCGCTACTTGAGATTCCTCACCCTAACCTTTTTAAAGCCGGCAACCCCAGTGGGTTTCATCTAATCGGTTCGACAACTTTTGCTTGCAAGATGGCTGAGTCTAGCACTTCTGATCCGTATGACCCGGCCGAACATTCAGAGACTGGACCTAATCCCGACGACAGAATTTCGGCACCTGATGAGATGCATAGTTCCACAGATACTCAAACCGCACTAACAGTACAACCAAAAATGTTCGAGCAGTCTCGTGTAGGTTTGGATATTGAAATGAATTACCTTTGGAATCGCCTCAAGAACATTATCATTACGAAGGGCATTTTGAATGCGGAAGAGGTCACTGGAAATCAATACGACAAGAAAGAACGAATTCCTGAAGGGCTCCATGCCTCATGGTCTCCAGAGTTGATATCCCAAAGGGTCAAATGGGTGAGTATGGCTGATGGTCTTTGATAAAAAGAACAACACGAAGCTGATCATTTTACGTCTTCATTTTAGCGTATGCGAACGATAACATGGTCTAAGTTTTATCCATTTAGATCAGAAGAGGACTGGCTAGTTCGAGTAGATCACTTCTACTACCAAGGATGGTATGTAACTTATCAATTGGGAATTCCTGAGGCTAACAACAAGACAGTTCGGCTGATCATGAGTTAATCGTGCTATTCGCCGTGAAGAAGAATGTCATAAAATTCTACCAATACGACATGAAAGCTTCCCAAATTACTGAGGTTAATTAGACCCACGGGTATGTCAATATGATCATACAAAACCTTGCTCGAGTACCTATGCAAGTTACAACCAGCCCCGAAAATGTTGCCATGGTTTTCAATTCAGACCTTGAATATATCGAGTGGGCGAAAACGATGCTTATCAAAACCAGAAAGAATGACTCCGAGTCAGACCAGTCAGATATATGTGTTCTCGGCAATTTTCTCAGAGGAATCTCCCTCGGATATATCAACGACCAGGTACCTGGTAAGAGCACATACCCTGTTTTGGACCATTCCGAGGATAGATGAAGGGGCTCTGAAGCTCTACAAGACGCAGTTCACATTAATGATCAGCAAACCTCTTCAAGGCCTGAGGACACAGCACCTGCCGTAGCCAGAGATAAGAGCGACTTATCAAACGAGATTTCCGGATCTCAGGATGTGCCTGTGTCTCCGTCGTCAAAGGAGCAAAAGTCATCTGAGAGACAACTTCATTCTGAGTGGCAGACTCCGCCTGAGGAACAGCTTCCCCCGCCACCACCTAGTCCAGCAAGCAGGAAAAGGACGCACCACTAAAGCACTCCCAGCCTGAGAACATTAAGTCGGGAAACCAGAATGACAGAGCATATGACATCAAGTCCAGCAAGAATTCTCAGTATTATTTGGGCCACGACCCTTCTGACGATGAGTCTGAATATGGAAATCCAGAACTGAAAATGGAGGAGAAAAAACTGGATAACGAAAGAGTCATCAACGGCAACACTGATCATCGGTCCAGAAGCACAGCCTCGGAGAATCCTAGCACTGGAGAGAAGTTCAGTTTCAGTCATAGTACGGATGAGCTCAAAGATACCAAACTCAGGATCAGAAGCTTTGAAGCGACCATTCGTGTCCAACGTCATAGCATCGCTGACTCTGAAGAAATAGAGCATACCAAGGACTCCATAGTCCTCATGCTCACTGAAGAGGCTGCAACCCTTAGAGGTAACTCTAGGAAACTTGAAAAAGAAACTACAACCCTTAGAGAGAACTCTAGGAAGCTCGGAGAAGAGTTTGAGGACCTTAGGGGGAAGAAGCGGCTTTTGGAGGATGAATGCGCAGAGCTCCGTCGTGCAAAGAGGCGTCATTCCTGAGTGCCTCCTGGGAATGCCTTGAAATCAAGTAAAGCCTACAGATAAGCTTTCTCACGCAGGAAACTACTAGTCGAAAGAAATTGAAATGAAGATCGGAGGTGTTGTGTAAGCTGATCACTATGTAGACTTGGAAAGGGAATCGCCAGATTGACGGCATGGATTTCTTTTTGGTATTCTCTACCTTAATGCATAGCTTTCCTTCCCAGGCATTTGGCGAGCCTCAGAGGCTGAACTAAAACTTCCTACAAAAGTGCCAAGCGAATGTGTCAGTGATATTTGGAGTATTGCAATTTGTGGTCTCAGTACTGGCTTTGTTGGATTGTCGGGCATGCGCATAGCTCACACGCAGCCTTGCGTAGCTTGGAGGCGGTACTTAGCCCGAGCACCTTCTTGAACAGTTCTCGCTCTTTCCTGTCTGGTTGCTTAACAGAAGCCTTTCCCAAAACGGCTAGCTCCGGGCCCAGGTGTCGGCGCGGGTCTTGAGTCCTTCGCCGACCGTCTTACACCCAACACCTTTCAACTTCGGACACCGTTGCAAGGTCACCACGAACTTCTTGTCAGCGGCGCAGCACTTCTTCGTCAGTCTCGCGCTAACGCGCTCACCGAGGCAGTGACGCGTCTCGCCGAATCTTCTTCATCGTTGCCAGGTTTCACCCGAACAGTTCTCGCGTGCTGCTTCCTAGACCGCGCACCGCTTTCTAGACACCACACTACTTCCTGAGCTACGCTGCTGCAGGACTAAAGGTCTTCCTTTGCTCTCAACTACACCAGCTTAGACACGGGATCATCAGTCACTCAACCTGTCGACACCGGCATTCTAAATGGAATTCAACTAGCCGATTTGCCAGCACTGTCTCACAAGATGTCTCATCCTGGCGCATCGGCTTCGGTCGAGCCTGCCTCTGGCCCTCCCACTAGTCCACTTGTCATAAATTTGCCGGCGCATGCGACTGAGATACACCCTTTCTTCGATTTGTGGGATAAAGACAAATCCACGCTTTGCGAATGGCGTTTCACATGGGAACAGGAATCCCTTGATCGTATGGCAAAAGTCTGGGAGGATATCAAGGAAGCTGCTGTTAAAGAAGGCCTCATTGATGCAACGGAGCTTACGACATATGCCTATGGCAAGCATGAAGAAGTACCAGAACAATTACAGGGATACTGGCCTACTCAGATGGCAGTCCAACTGATAGTATGGGTGAGTGCGACGATGTACGGGAAACCCTGCATAAATTAGCTAACCTTTTGTTCCCTCTAGGAGTTTACAGTGGCTGGAAAACAGCGACTTTTCGCCTGGTTCAAGTGTTACCCTTTAAGGGTCTCAAGAGAATGGTGGAGAGTTCGCTTCGATAACTTCATTGAGTTTGAAGAGTCCGCAGAGGGACCGTAAGGATATCCATCAACTCATGTTCGTACACAACTGACAATGAAACAGGTCCTTACTCGCAGAACGCACAATGTTCGTAATGAGAAATGCAGACAACGAGCATGTTGCAGACTTTTTCACATTCGATTCAGCTACGGGTACCATTATCGAAGCCCCGGAAGACGACAAGTATGCGGCTAAAATCTACCTCGACCTTGAAAGCCGCCACCGTAAGCGTAATTCCGATTTTGGATGCATACGTGTCCGTTCAGACCATGAGATTATCGACCGGGAGAAGAGGATGCTTGCTATGCAAAAGAGGAGACAAGAGTTAACCGACCAAGAAAGTGAAGACGAAGATGAATTTTTCACTAATGACTCTGAAACGGAAAGCTCGACAGCTTCAATTGACGACCGCCTTAAGTTCACGTCCAGTGGCCATCCTATTCTCTTTTATGATTCTTCAGATTTATCCAGAAAAAACCACATCTTGTATGGTTCTCAAGATCCATCTGAGGACAAGGACCTTGAAGGTTTCGTAGTGCCGGATACTCCCTCGACATCATCTGACGAATCCTCGACATTATCTGACGGATCCTCGCGATCTGAAACCGAAGTCGGAGACTCGGTGTCTGAAAGCAAAGAATCTTTGGAGGCTTCAGAGTCCTTTTCGGGATGCTCTTCAGAAGCCGACGAGCCAATGTTCCGGGATCCCTCAATCGATCGGACTGAAACTTCGTCTGAAGTCGAATCGACTTATGATCTTTTTGGGGCAACTTATGAGCTCTATCGGGCGCTTTTGTGGATGCGTTGCCAGCCCGTAAAAGCCAGAGCCGGAGAAGACGCAGATGCAAAGTCGGCAGAACTGGAGAAACGTGTGCTCGAATTGGTTTCCAGAATCGACCCTTCCAAAGTCCATAACGGATCAATGCCGATACCGCTGCTGCCTTCGAGCGAAGGGAACCCGGAACTCAAAATGGAAGAGTTAGGGCCGAACAACGTGGAATCCACCAGAGAATATATCGATCACCGACTCAGAAGCACGACTCCTGAACCTCCAGATGTTGCTGGGGACAGCAACGACGAACTCCGCAACACAATCAAGGGATTGGAAGCGACCGTCCGCCTTCAGGGTGCTAGGATTGTAGAGCTTGAGAAAGAAAACATGAAGTTGCGAAAGAAGCACATGCTGGAGGATGAGACTGATGAGGCCCGTCGCGTCAAGAGTCGTCATTCTTGAAAGATTTCCCGAAGTGCTCTGGTTTCAACTAGTGTTTTCTGGCGTCATGCTTAACAAAAGCAGGAAGCCACTGTACGATAGAACATGAAAAAGGTATAGCTATCCTGGCAAGTTGCTCACTACACGAGCCATGCAAAGGGAATTGCTGGACGGCGGACAGCACGGTTATTTTCTTTTGTTTCTCAGCTGCTTGCTTTGCTTAACTCATAAAACTCTTTTCCATATATTTAGCTATCCCTGTAGCTCAGGCTGAGCTTAGAGCTTTCCTGCAGGTACTACTAAAAAATTCTACGGATTTCATTATACGACTGGGTTGTGGGAGATGGAATCGTGGATGTTGATGTTGACCACTTTGCCCACAAACTCTATGGCTTCCAACTTCTTCGCTCTCTACTCTCTAGCCAGCAATGTAACTTTTGACCTTTTACCCACTTGAGCCTCGCGGGAACAATGTGGCTGGGAGTAGCGATGTGTATGTCGGAAATGGAAAACTGCAAAAGTATCAAGCCGGAGCTTCAGGAGGCCACCGCTCACGACCCCGTTGCCATGCATGACAAAGTATTACCGGTCTTCAGCAGTTGCGATATAAAATGACTTTCCATGAGGAACTAAGAGAGGCCCGGATAAGGCAAAGGCTCAAAGCCACCCAATGGACCTTGCAGTCTGAGTTGTCAGAGTTGATCTTCGAGGAAGGACCTGGATGCAGTCTGCAAGAAATTCTACCCTAACGATCTCCTAGTTCGTCATGTCTCCGGCAACATCGAGTAGCGTCTGTTCAGCGAGGGATTGACCCAGAGCGCTCAGGCCTACATTGCCTCGCATCCTAAGTGTGTGGCCTTGATCTACAAGAAACACATTCAACGATGAGGTGGTCGAGGAGAAGCCAAAGCCCAAAATAAGTATGAGTGAGCAGTCGTATGGGGAGGCGGGCGCTCAGTGATGTCTGCTTTTTTACGCACGTCGATGCAGGGCCTTCTGCTGTTGCTTGCTAGCGACACTGCGCAGTGTTTGGACATGGGCGGCAGTTAGCGAATGACAGCAAAATCGCCGCGAGTCTACAGTGAAGCTCCCACGGTCCCACCTGATTCACCGAAAAAGCACTGACACGCCACAACACAACTCATTCACCCACTCACACAACGTTATGTTTAATAAGAAAGGAAAAAAGAAAGAGGAAGTATCGAACCCGTCTCCGAAGAGACCTTCCCAAACGGGATACCTAGTGATCTATGGTTGGTGGCCGGCCGCACAGTAGACCACTAGGCCAGGGTAGTATGGCCATTTACCCCGTAGAGTCCGATGATTAGGAATTGGGTTCCCTCTAATATATAGTTGAGCACTATGGCTGCAGTGTGTGCTTGAAATAGTACATGTTACAAGCTACATGCTACAAGATTTGGAGCATTTGGAGAACTTACGTATTTGAATAAGTTTAGTACACATAATTAGCTTTGATATGCATGACTATGAACCCGTCCTCATCCAACTGCGGGGTTATCCCATTTGTCGCTTCAAATGCCTCCTTATACTTACGAAAGTGAAACTTTTACGAGCCCGTACATCTCGACAATGCGTCTGATTCAGCACGTCATTGTCACAAGCCACAGCACCGGCTACAGCTACACAATAGGGCCTGACCGTTGGTAGTGGAGTCTGCACTTCTATAATACCATACCATCATAGGTATATAACTTGCTTTCATACCTATCTACATGTAGGGTTAAATGGACATAGACAGGGTAGACAAATCATCCGGAGCCAAAATCGTTTGTAGGTCACCGTGTGATACATTCCATGTTTCCATGAACCATCTTGGGGCCTTGTGATAAATAAGCAAAAACATGAGTTTGATCTCTTTGTCGCGCGTGGCAATTGTCTTTTCCAACCGCATTTGCGATTCATTGTAGTTTGCGCTTGATGTTTGCCCGCCTAGCCGCATCAGTGTTTCACTATATAAGCCACAAAGCAGCACCACTTAACTGAAGTGCAGAAGTGCAGCTTTCAGTTTGCACTTCACGGCGCCACACTGTTTGTACTTAAATATTCTTTTTCTTTCTCGCCATTATGAGAACCAACAACCACGCCTTCCAACGCGCAAGCATTTCTTCCACCGATCATACCGACAACTTTTCGCAATCATGTCTGGGCATCAATTGCGCGCGGCCAAAGAGGCTTGGACATCCCCTCAAAAGGTTACGAACAATCGCGACAACGCGAAGTTCTTAAAAATCTATAAATCAGCAGTAAAGGCTGCGGTACGCAGCGACCTTGAGATACCAAAAGACTCAAGTCAGCCCAAGGAGTTCTCCAGAAGGAGATATGTATGTTAGAAGCTTACCTGGCATTTTGTGGAATCCACCGTGGCTAACGTTCTGTACAGATGAGAGTGGAAAGATCAGGCAGCCAGGAGAAGGAGATTGCCTCGTGGTTCAGCTGTCAGCGGGACCTGAAAGATGAGTCCAGCGGTTTTTGGAAAGTCCGTTTGGATGTATTCGCCATCACCGATGTCGAAGGAAGGTAAGCTGATCATGAAGCCGTCCCGTCTGTTGCTCTTCTGTACCTGGCATGATACAGGGCTACCGCGAATATGGAGGTCTTCCTCACCGTGAGGTGGACCAAGATCCTAAAAACGAAGATGAGGTCGACAAACTTCTACGCCTACGACCAGACTCAGGATGCCATCAACGAGGTTAGGGAGCCAAAAGGCTACTCATTGCTTGGCTTGGTCTCCGAGCACATCAAGAAGTGCGACGAAGACCTCTTCTGTCCCTTCCCCACCGAGTGGAAGTGGAGCAAGGACCTCGTTGGTGGCAGTGGATCACCAACTCCCAGCCAGGAACCGACTCGGAGCCAAGCACCATCTCGGAAGAGACCCGCAACGGCCGATGATCAGGCCAGTCACAAAAGGCGGAAGACGATGTCGAAGCAAGCATGCGACGACCCCGATTCGTCCGGTGACGACTCGGAATATGGCGATCCGACGTTGAAGGTAGAAGCTTTCGACAACGACACATCCACTACCACCACTACCACCACCAACAGTGCATCCGGGGGCACCCCAAGACCCTCGTCATCAAGCAGAAACCATAAGGGCCCTGGGCGTACTGGTGCGGTACCCGGAAATATGGATGGAGCTCACGGCGAACGGGCGAATGCCAGAGACAGCTTCATTCGCCAACTTCTGGCCGAACAGGAGGCTTGGAAGGCCGAGAAGAAGGGCTGGGAGAAGAAAGCGCAAGATTGGAAGGCGGAAAAAGAGAGTCTGGAGGCTCAGAAAAGGGACGTGGAGAACGAAAAAGAACATTTGGAAGAGAAGAACGCACGTCTCGAGGAGAAGTGCGTGCGTCTGGAAGAGAAAGGCGTGAATCTTGAAGAAAAGAACGCACGCTTAAAGGAAGAGAACGAGCGTCTGGTGGAGGAGGATGAGCGTTCGAAGACCATCCACAGAGCTCTGACGAACGAGCTTATGGCCACGAACAAAAAACTCCATGAGGCCAAAGAAAGGAAGAACTCTGTGGGCTAGTGTGGGCAGAAGGGAGGCGATCAAGAAATCCGCATCTGTGTCTTACATTGACTTGGATTTCCAGAGCGTTGGAAAGTCGGGTAGCGAATTTGGCGAATGGGTGATGCTAGGTAGTTTGACAAAAGTTCTTTTCTTGATGCCTTTAGGCAGGATACTTCAGAATGATACAGAAGACCTCCAGAAATTAGATGGTGTGCGGGTGCTTGGGTTCTTGACAAACTTACGTCATTCAGCAGAAAGTGAAAGAAGCGGACGGCTTACCTAGATCACCGTCCTTCCTCAACCATCTTTCCAACACAACGACCAACACCGCTCTCCAACCTATAACGCTCCAGCCTCAACAAGCAATTACCTCTCCTGGTTGAGCCCGTTACCAAGCTGCCATGGAGGGGTGGACAGACCCTAAGGACGTCACGAACGATCGTGACTATGTCGAAATCTTGGAGATTTGGGAAGCTTGCTTAGAGGCTGCGGTCCACCACGGTATTTTCATCCCACCTCAATTCAGGAAGCTCGTAGATCTTTCTAAAAGAAAGCTTGTAAGTGAGAACGTATTCATAGCTCTGTATACCTCACCGAAGCTAACCTTATCGCAAAGTTAAGAGGCGAGACCCACGACGAAGCTCAGGCCGAAAAGCTGGCCTCATGGTTCACCTGTCACAGCGCTTCGCTGGATATAACACATTCCAACTGGAAAGTGCGCGTCGATGTCTTCATCATAAAAGACCACAACGGAAGGTAATGCTCGTCCGAAACCATCCATTTGTCGTCAAGGACCTCAGTTAACTTACAAGACATAGGCATAGGAAAGAGATCTTCCTCATTGTAAGATGCCCTTTCCCAAACAAAGCCTATCATTGGTCCCTCGACTATTTTACATGGGATCCAACACTCGGAACCATTGACGACGTTGCTCAGAATGGATCCGAATTGGTTGAGTTGGTCTCGAACGACGTCGAAAGTTTTGGTGGCCAGCTAATTGATGCATACTCCAAGAACGGGAGAAAACTATTTGACAGCAATGGGCCGCCCTCATTGAGCCAAGCGCCACGGAGCAACGCGAAGAAGATGTTCGACCGAGCCGATAGAAAGAGAAGAAGGATCATCGAAGAGGAATCTTCCGAAGACTCTGAGATGCATGACTATTCTGGAGACGATTCAGAATATGGGAACTCTGACCTGAAGCCAGAAAACCTCATGGAAACTCCGGAACCTTTATTCTCAGACGATATCCACCAAGACCATGAACAGGCTTATGCAGTACCAAGGGATGCTGATCAAGCTTTCCGAGAGCTGAAAGAAGCAAGGCAGAAGATTAGGATGTTGGAAGCCGAGAAGGACACTATGGAGACAGAGCAGAAGAGTTTGAAGACCGTAAATGAGATGCTGTCAGGAAACATTAGGGAGCTGGAAAAGAGACTTTATGAAGCTGACAGCAAAAGATGCACTCACTAGCCGAAAGTTGACAAGAGACAAGCACTAGCAAATCCGAATGTCGAGTCTCCGGTAGGCATCGTGTTGGATCCTCAAAGCTTTGGATGTGCTTGTAGATGATCTGGCGAATGGGAGATCATGAGATGCTGGGTAGTTCGACAAAAGCCTTTTTGTTAAAACCTTTTGGCAGCATACTTCTGAAGGCACGTAGTTTAGCAGACTCTGAATTGATGTGAACCACAGAAGCAAACAACTTATACATTGTAAAATACGGCGGGACATCATACAGAAATACATTGAAGAGTGAGCTGTAACCATCAAAGGTAGGCGCTGGAAAGCTCCAGTGTGTGAAAGGGCCTACTTGCTTTCTCTGAGCTAGGATACCGGAGGTCGGTTGTTCCTGCCTTGTTTGTTGAAGCTGCGGAAGATACCTCTTTCACCTCTTTACCTACGTGTCTCGCAGCTTCCTGAAGCCTCTTAACACCACACACACCAACGCAGTTACGTCATCATCTGAAACAGACTGAACAGACCTACTGAAGCAGCAGATGTCTATCTTGCTTCTGCACTTCGCGACCTTGCACCATCCATCCCCAACCAACTTTACAGCACAACCGCCAACAACGCCCTCCAAACCTCAACAAGCAAACGCCTCTCTTGGCTCGACGCATTGTCGCTCGCAGTCATGGAGAGAATAACATGGGACTGGGGGGAAGCATCGATCGACAATGAGCCGTACGACGCTGATGAACTTCGCACGTATTGGGGAGCAGCGTTAGTAGCGGCAGAGAGGCATGGTTATACGGTCCACCAACGATATATGGAGCGGCCCAGAATCCTCCGGAAATCACTGGTAAGCAAAGAAATAATTTAATACTCATCACCTGACGGGGCTGAATATAGCTAACATAATGTGAAGTTCAAGGATGTCGGACACAAAGCGAAAAAGTTTGCCTCATGGATAAGCTTTTACAGTGAGCCTGAAAATGAAAGGCTACGGAAGACAGAGCATCGATGGAAATTCCGTTTGGATGTTTTCGTTCCATGCGGCGTGGATGGGCCATTGTAAGCTCTATTTCCCCTTCAGAAGCTTCCGAAATACTAACACCATATAACTCAAAGAACCGAAGAGCAGTTAATTCTCGTTGTGAGGATTGACAACCTTGATGCACCGGAGTTCTACACTTTTGACTCAGTAGTCAACACCATCACAGATGTTAGCTATAGTCGGCCACTATTGGTCAACGTGGTTCGGGAACACGCCAAGCGTTTAACTTCATTCCCTCACAAATGGCCCTATCACCTTATTACTGAGGATCGGCGATTTATGTTTTCCAGTACCAAGCTAATGGCTCCCAATCCGCATAGCCCTGCTAGACCATCTGCCTCGGAACAAAGATCACCCCGGAGCAACACAGCAAAAACCCGTAACCAAGGGCAGAAAAAGAGAAAGATCACAGTAGTGGAAGACTCATCGGATGATGACTCCGAGTATGGGAATCCTGCACTGAAGCCGGAAAACCTCAACTTCGAGATTACGTCTGCCGCTGCAGATACTACTGTCAACAACATCTCGCAACCCTCTACGCCAAATGGTCAAGTCGGAATTTGTACCAGTACAGACCTGAGCGCCAATCCGACCGCCAACCTGACTTTGGACACTCCACAGCCCTACACTCCAAGTGGACGCGTCACTGCCACTACTTCGCGGCCTTCAAGGTCGAACAATATTCGTCATTTAGACAGAGAAAGCCTCGAATTGGAGAGTGCCAGAAAGAGAATCAAAACTTTAGAGGCTACTAACAAGGGTCTAGAGGTCTCTAAGAATGGTCTGGAGGCTTCAAGTAAGGGCCTGAAGGCTACAAACAAGGAGCTTGGAGTGAAAAACAAGGACCTAGAGACTTCGAACAAAGCCCTGGGGGCTTCGGCCAAGATCTTGGATGCTTCGAACAAGACCCTGGAGGCTTCGAACAAGGAGTTGCAGGCTGAGAAAAAGAGTTTAGGGGAGTCGAAAAAGGATTTGGTGGCTGAGAATAAGAGCTTGGAGTCTTTGAACAAGTGTTTTGAGGCTAAGAGCAACGGACTTGAGGATTCGATCAAGAGATTGGAGGATGAGAACAAGGGTTTGAAGGCTTCATACAAGAGCTTGGAGGCTTCAAACAAGGGTTTGGAGGCAGTCAACAGGATCCTGGTGTTGAATATCGTAGAGCTTCAGGAAAAGCTCAAGGATGCAGATGACAGGGTACAGGAACTAACCAGACGGTAAATTGGACATGGGTACTTACAGATTGCAATCGAGGTACAGTTCAAATACAAGCAGGTATTCCAAACGTTGCGTTACATTATGTGAAGTATGCAAGAGCGAGCCATGAATTACCTATTTGTGTAGAACATGTTAGCCAGTGTGGAGATTGCGTAGGAGGAACAAATAAGAGGTGTTTGTATAAGACAAACAAGAGGTGCTCCTATAAGCAAACGAAATTCGCCTAGAAAAGGAGCCTCTAGCTCTAGTGTAAAATAGATATGCAGAATATATTCCTTCTCCACTCCATACGGGTTAATTTCAACAACCAATGATATCCTTGCTTTCAGGGCGGCAGAAATGTCCTCTAAGCTCAAGCAGCACAACAACATTAAAGTAAACAACTGAACAACCGAACATACCGAACCTTACGACCTCACCGAAAGCAATGGCGCCTAAAAGCAGAACCCTCAGGCCCTTAGCACTCTTCCCGCAACAACCTCGCAACGATGGAAGAATGGCGCACAGAACACGTGCGCCCGCACGACCGCGAGGCGGTCGCCGAGCTGTGGAAGGCCGCTCTGCCGGCCACGCGGGCCCACGGCTTTACAGTTCCGCAGCGATTCATGGAGGTGGCGCACCTGGTCGTGAGGGCGCAGGTATGCACATCATCAGCATATACTAATGGCGTTGAACGTCGCTAACGTACCGTGAAGTACAAAGCGGGCGGCCGCAGAGAGGAAAAGGTCGCGGCGTGGACCACCGCGTACAGCGTCCCGGAGGACAGGGCGCAGCGCTTCACGCCGAAGCGGTGGAAGTTCCGGATGGACGTTTTCGAGGAGATCGGCGGGGATGGCGAGGCGTGAGTTCTTGTTCCCTGCCTACTCACAACCCCTTACAACCCTCCACACGGTTGCTGATGGACGCTACTCCCCAGTGCCAGACGAAACGTCTTCCTCGTCGCGAAGCGCCGTGCCCCGGGCAGCGAAGACACCTGGTCCCCCGCGTACTTCGGCTTCGATCCCGCGCGTAACACCCTCGCCGCCGTCGACGAGAATGCAGACCCGCTGGCGAAGAAGATCGCGCAGGAGGTGGAGGCGTGCCAGCGTCAGCGTATTGCTGCTGCTGCTGCTGCTGCGGGTCCGAATAAGCGGCAGAAGATGCCCGGTGGTGGTGGACGGGCTGCTGCTTCGAAACAAGCTTCGGCTCCGAGCAAGAAGCAGTCGACTTCCCCCGGCAAGAACCAACCGTCCGCGTCTACCCCGAGCAGCAAAGGCGCGAGCTCTGCCCAGGGCGATCGGAAGTGGAAGGCGGAGGCCATTGTCATTGACGACTCGGACGACGACGACGACGACGACGACGACGACGACGACGACGACGAAGATCCCGAGTACGGCGACCCTGAGCTCAAGATCGAAAACCGGAACGAAGCGACGGCGCCGCAGCCGCAACCCGTTGCGCGCACCACTGCGGTGCAGGCTCCTACCCAGGCTTCGCGCACTTCAGGTCACGCTACGCCGACCGAGACTCGTCAGGTCGACCGACAAGGCCTCGAGCTGGAGGAGGCCAGGGAGGAGATCAGGAGGCTGAAGGCTGACAACAAGCGCCTGGAGACCACGAACAAGGTCCTGGGAGACAACATCGTGGTGCTGGAGGAGAAGCTGCTGGAAGCGAACGAGAAATTGCGGAAGGCGAATCGGAGGCGCTGAGGTCGCAACACCAGTTTACGGCGTCGTGGATTTTTAACATGATGGGGATGGAGATTATGATGGTCGGTGATTGGCTCAGGTTTTTGCTTGGTGTGTTAGGCTCGAGTGAAGGGCGTTGCCTAGCTGGGCCAAGTGCATCTATGGATTCTCTACCTCTCACACTTTCTCCCCAAACATCTACTGGCTCGCTAAGTGGTTCTCCTTGATTGTGACACACCTAAATACAGCGACGCCTTTCAAGGGCTGCAAGCCTGCGCTGCCAGTCCGCGACAAAGGCACCACCAGTCTCCCATTGTTCTGCCTACCTACTGCCTTGTTCCCACCACTCCCACCACCACCCACCCAACAACCACTACACGTCACCCCTGTACGGCTCCCCAGCAACCCGCTCACGCCCAAAATGGAGCAGTATCCCGACATGGACATTGACTCACCGGGCCAATACGCCGACGAAGACACCGGCGACCTCAGCATCCCCAGCGACTTCCGTAAGCAAAACGTCTGGCTCTCGCGCGTGCCCACCTGGCTCTGGGAAGTCCTCTCCAACTTGCACGACGACGAGGAAGTCGAGATCGGCACACTGACGACGTGGACGGAGGGCGGCGCGCAGAAGACGAAGCTCGCGCTGCACGACCTGCCGCGCTTCACTGAGCTGCCCAAGGAGTACAAGCTCAACACGCTCAACGCGACCCCGGGCAACACGTTCGTCTTCACCGAGCAGGACCACGGCTATTACCCCGTCAAGTACGTCCACCCCGGCTGGTACAGAGCCCGGCCTAGAGCTGACAGCGCGGCCTCCGGTGGCCACCGCGGCGGCAAGCGGCCGCCTATCACGAAGAACACGGTCCTCGCCGCGCGCGCCAGCCACGACGTGTCGCTCACGCCCATCGAGACCGGAAAGGCAGACGCGTCGCTCTTCCTCCTGCGACAAACCGCCCGCGCCCAACAAGCGCGCAAGCAGCGCCTCGTCCTCGAGCCGAACATCCAAGCGCTATCGTCCATAATCGGGGGCGCCGCAAACCCAGCCACCAAAGCAGCCATCAAGACCAACATGCTCAACGCCACCAAGTCCGCCCGCTCCACCAAGACCTGCGACAAGTACGCCCGCATCCCGCAGGAGGACCTGCTCGACCTGCTCGCCGCCATGTTCGCGCAGTACCGGTACTGGTCCTTCGACGCGCTGCAGGAGCGCGCCAAGCAGCCTGAGCGCTACTTGCGCGAGACGCTGGCGCTCGTCGCTGTGCGCGTGAATGCGGGACCCTGTGCGGGGACGTGGATGTTGAAGGAGCAGGTGGAGGGCGCGAGGGAGGCGATGGCACCTGAGCCGGAGTCCGACGAGGATGAGGACACGGATTGGAGCTTTAACGAGGATGAGGATGATGAGGAATATGGTGGTGTTATGATTGATTTGAGTTGAGTTGAGTTGGAGGAAGGAGGGGTATGGTTGGCGATGGACACATTTGGAATTCGTCCACACACTTCTTCCGTGGCAGTGGCACCTTCCACGACAACAATAAAACCAGCTAGCACCTCAACTACCACCCCACGACTCTGAAAACCACTAGCTCTACAACCACGAACCCCAGCACCAAAACACCAACCCCAAAACACCCACCCACCCCACTCAACGTACTGTACACACAACCCCAGCCCACCCCCCCATTCGGCAGCGACAAAAGACAGACAGCAACCGCCCTCACCCTACCCTAACCTAGGTCCGTAGCTAAGCAACCTAGTAGCCAAGCAAGTAGCGACTCAAGTTTGATCATAGTCCCACCTTACCATCAACGAACGCCACACAACCACCATTCCCCTCGCTCTCTGCAGTGCCGTGCCCCACACCACAGCACACATGGCCAGCCTGTACATACCAGTGCCCATGAATGTCCACTCCGCTTCCTCCCCCTCCGTTGCTCTCGTCTGCGTTACGCTCTGCTTCTCCCTCTCCGGGTCTCTCCCCAGCGGTCACCCGCCCCGCCGTGACGTTTGGTCAATCAGTCACTGACTGACACAGCCACGAGGATGATTGAATGATTGATCTCCCATGCGGAAATGGCATTACTAGGCAGTTGTGCATGCATAGGTGTGAAAACAACCTCAATGGCGCTGTATGTTTGTTTGTTTGCGCGCGGGATTGCGCGGTGTGTGTATGTATGTACCTACGTAGATCGCGTGGCCGATATGAAGGCAAGACAAACGCGCTCAGGCGCTCGCTTTGGCATTTGACCATTGGTGCTAGGTCACTCATGCATGCATGCATCATACGGCATTAGTACATGCAGCACCTCCTGCACCAGTCCATCTCTTTATCCAACAAAAGACAAGACTTGTACAACACCGAACAGCCACTTCACAAGCAAGCCCGTGCACGCAAACCTTCACACACACAAAACACATGAAAGACAGAACCCCCATTATTTCAGCTACCTAGAGCAAACTAAGGTAAAGTGGAACAGCAACAGCCAGTCAGCCACAGGCACAATGCCACCCAGCAGGCCGCCCATCATCCACCGATGGATATGATGGCATCAGTAGAGAGCCTTGGACCGTCCTACGCCCCATCGTGCCAAAGGAAATGTAAAAAGTGTGGAAGAAAGTTGAAAAGGAAGGAGAAAGCAAATTGCATAAGTATCGGTTTGAATGAACTCTCATTCCATGCTCCCGCAGTATTATGTCCTTCTTTCCCGATGGAAGATGTTTGCCTCGTTATTATGAGCCGTCCCGAATGCAAGCTATCTTTGTTGCCTGTGAAAGAAGAAAAGAAATAAAAGAACAACAAGTGAATGCATTTGAGACAATGCATGCCAGCCATCGTCTCTGCCCTGTCCCAATGCTGTGGTGTAAGTTGTGATACACTGATCGTGGTAAGAGGATTTGGCCCGTTTGGGTGCAAGTGTCGTGGTGAAATAAAATGTAAAGTGAGCATTCTGGTGGGGAAGTCGGATGTATGATGCCACATTGTGGAGAATGTGGAGAAGTCGTCCGCTAAGGTTCAATGACCATACTGACTGCTTGGCTGAGGAGGCATAGTGCACCACTTAGATGCAAGTGCTGGTGTAGGTGTGGATCGACAGCTGACGAGAGTAGTGGCTTCATGGCTGAAGGAGACCAATGGCAAGGCTCGGTGCGGCGCTCCATTGATTGCTTCAGAACCTGATCGCAAAGGTCAGTATCTCAAAGTGCCAATCATCGTCACTAAATGGCAGCTGAAGCATACCTAGATCATCTTGAAGCGCTTGGCGGCCTGGTACGGCGTGATGGCGAAGCCACCGCTCTTCTTGAACTCCGCCGCGATCGCGTTCCAGCGATCATTGTCGACGTGCTGAACTGCAAGGCAAAGCTTGCGGTCGTCTTCCTCACTGAAGATAGGCATGGGTCGCTCGGCCGGGTCTCTGTCGACAGCAGGGCCAGCGTGCTTAGCGCGCTTGCGATGCTCCTGCAAGTGCATGTGGTCTTGGACGTCAAAGTCGTTCTCGCCGTTCATCTCTGCGATGAGGGGGGCATTGCGAACGAAACGACCGTAGACAGACGCAGCAGTCAGGCCTGTCTGCTGGCCGTTGGCGACACGCCGCTCGTTCAGTTGCTTGGCGATTTCATCCCACGAGAGGCGCTCATTCTGGCGGAGGTCCTTGATCATGATGTTTTCCTCGTTCTTGGCCGGACTGTTCTTGCGGCCTGCGCTGATACCGAAGCCGCCACGACCGGAAGCGAGCATGCGCTCCTTCATCTCGGCAGCGTAGCTCTTAGGCTTGGGTTTCACCAAGGTGGAAGGTGCGCTAGTCACGGAAGATGTGCGGCTGTCATCAAGAGCCGGGGTCATGAACAATGCGGACTCTTCACGGTTGTGGCGTCCCATAGTTGTGTTGTATGATGGAGGAGGAAGGCGACCAGTTCCAGGACGACGAGGGGAAGGGTCGGGAGTAGGATCGCGATGACCACCAGAAGTGTCGGACTCTTCCTCGTCGTCATCCACAACTGTAATCATGTGGCGCTTACGCTTGCCAGTACCCGTCAAAGTACGGCGTGTGACTGTGTCGTCAGAGCCATCTCCGAGGTCTGGGACCTCTGGGTACGCGTCCTTGGTGCGTGCCAACATAGTGGATTTGTTCTGGCGGTTGTTGTCGTACTCATCGCTTCCGTCATCACTCTCCATGTGGGGTTCGTTGCGACGACGCAATGACAGCCTCTGACGGCGACGGTTCTCGTGAGGTGCTTCGATATCAAGAGCGTTGATGGAATCAACTTCAGGATGCTTGTGAGCGCGACGGTTCACGCGGGGCGTTTCGACGTCGAGGGCGTTGAAGGTGTCAGTATCAAGACGCTTGTAGGCGTGACGGTTCTCGCGGGTCATTGAGGCTTCGGGGGTGGGGGAGATTGATTCAGGGGTCGCCTGCGTGAAGTTCACAAACTTGGACATGACGTGTGCGTCGTCGCTGTTGGGGAAATGTTAGCAGCCTCGATCATTGTAGAGGTGTGTTATGAGCCAAGGTGAGGCTGTTGAAGGAACATGTAAGCAGAAAGCATACGAGGGAAGAACTTGCCTGCTGCGCAACACCATGATGCCTGTTTACTGGCGCGGAATGTCGGTTGACGTGAGAGGCTTGGTCCGCGGCTGCAGATGTGGTTGGCAGGTGATCGGTGTGATGCAGTCTTGTCAAGAAGGTTGTCAAAGAGAGATCAGGAAGCAGTAGGTAAGAGAGTTGAGGGAGCAGCAGGGAGTGAGGGCTTAAGGGTCGCTCCTGTGGTGGTGGTGGGCAGCAATGAGCGGTCAGTGCTGGTCCGCTTGACGCGCTGGTGATTGTTCCGGAGTTGTTCGGCAAGGTTGTGTCCAAAGTTCCTGCAGAATTGGAGTGGTCGGTCGGAGTTTAAGAAGGAACGAAGGATTTGACACTGACTATTGACGTCAGAATCCTATTGTTCTTACCATCAGTTTCAGTGCGAGGAAGGCGTCGCACGGCTCGCATGCCGGGTGAAGGAGCTCCGGGCAGGCCGTCGCTCCAGGCCATCAATAACAGCGAACAATGATGATGTGCAACAATAGCAATGAGACTGACAGTGAAAGATGTCCCTTGGTTCTTGCGCGACACAAAAGAAATCGCAGCTAGCAAATAAAGTAGCAAATTGTACAAGGAAGTAACAACTTCAGCGCGCCTTCCACAAAAATTTCCTGCTCCTAACCACACTTAGATCTCATTACATCCGTCTCTCCCTTCCATTCCCTACCCTTCTACCTCAAACTCCCATGCACAGCCCTTGCCTCTGCTCTTACTGCCTTCTCCTCTCTCTTCTTGCCCTCATTGTCCTTCGGCTTCTGCGAGAACACGCGCTTCAGCAGTGTTGTGACGGTGCTGGTGGTGGAGGTGCTCTTCGTCGAAGATGCGGATGTGGTTTTGACGCTTGCGGATGTAGAGTCTGCGGACATTTTGATGGATTGTTGGTGGTGGTAGTTTGATTGTTGTGGGTTGGAATTGCAAGACTAACGGATGGCGCTTCAAGAGGGAGGGCGGTTGGTAGAGATGTTGACCAAGGGCTGGGATAAGCTTTTTCTGACGAATCGTGTAGGAGATATGATTTGCGGTGTATCGAAGATCGCAGTGGACAAGAAAGCTTGACTTGGAGATGATGTGGATGCAGGCCTGTGTTCTGGTCATTTCCATCACGGTCCTCAAACTCAATTTATACTTCCTCACACCTCAGACACTTCGACTCACACACCCTCCCACCAACACGCTCTACGCGCCATCATCAAAGCCTGCAGCACCGCCCGCAGCCCCACCAGCATCGCAGCGTCACACTCCGCGCCTTACGCATGCCACTCGTCCTATCCAGGTCCAGAACAACACCACGAACGTCAGGCATCACACCGCCAAATCAATAGGTATCGTCGACGCGTACACCCAGGTGCCCAATCCAGACACCGCACGCAGCGTGACGTTGGATTTGGGTTGCGGCGGCGCGGTGCCCGGAAGCGGATTGGCGGCCGCAAGCTGTGCGTTTGGTAACCCCCGCATTCTTGCTGACCAATTTTCAATATGACTCTTGCCATCGTACGACCGGTATTCGAAGTGGGTGTTGAAGGGCGCGTCGTGCTGCGTCGCTACAGTGTGTGATTAGGTAAGCCCCGCATTCCTGTTTAACCCCGCTGTCAATTCGCAACATGACTCTTGACACCGCACGACAGGTGTTCGAAGTTAACGGTGAAGCGCGTAAAGCGCGGAGTCGTACGTATACACGCGCGGGGTGCGTCGCGGGCCTGGTGAACAGTCATACGTACGTACCTCTCTCAATGGCTTTTCATTTTCTTGATTTTCTGGCTTTTGGTCTCCGCTACGGAGGACGTACGTGCCCCACTAGGTACCCCAGGCAGCTACGGCCCGCTTGGAGCGCCTTACGGTTTAGGTGTCAATGTACAACGCGCCCTACGACATGCGGACAAACACGCCCTATAAATGCGCCCTGCACAGTACAGACACGCCCTATGTGCTGAAACCACATCGCGCACACTAGAAACGCCAGGTATGCGCTTGACAAGCCCAATCTACGTCAGTGTCACATCCATGCATGGAATTCTCCGCGCTTGCAAGCGTCAAGGGAAAAAAGGATATCAAAGAGTCATATTTTGACGACTTCTCATCTACAAACAACGTGGGCCCTTACATTTGGCACGTCGGCGTTAATTGTCTTCCATTGTCCACGTTACAAGCCAAATCAGAGAAATAACCGTGGCCATCATTGCCGTCATTTTCCTTTTTAAAAGAGCCGCCGTGGGATAGTATACACTGGTCGCCGACCTTATCACTTTCTCTTACGAACTCATGCATGAGCAGCATTTAGCACTTGCCAGCCTGCCAGCCAGCCACGACGACGACGACATGACGACACCACAATCAACAACAGTACCCAGATAAGCACCCACTTAAATACAAGCCCAAGCGCAGCTTCAAAGCTACCGACAACCACATCCGACCAGGTTCGGTTGCGTGTTCCTCAACGAGCCCATAAGATGAGTCAACTGGGGGGTTGCGGCCACAAACACTGGACCGAAATTTCTCGGGACCTTCTACTGCAGCCTGAGCGACAGGCGAGTCTGCTCGTCCAACGTTCAACGACATAACACTACGGCGCCGAACACCACCACCGCCCAGCGCAGGTGTAGAGCACCATTCCGCTATGCGTGCGGCAAGCACCTTTAACGGATGCAGCATTTCGTGTAAAGAAGAGCGATTCGTTTCCTATCGAACTTGATGCAACGGTAAACAGTAAGCGGCCGACCTTTGGCAAAATACCTTATCTCGTGTGTTTCTGATGTACTCGGTGGCCTCTGTCGAGTTGTGGCTGGTAGTGAAGGTATCGCTGGAAGGCTGTAGGCTTTTAAACACAATTCGGTACTGACAAAATTGTCCAGGATGTATTACGAGGCTCTGTATCGAGTCGTTTGTTGGTAAGCTCTCAATGCTCTTGGACACTGACGAAGGCTGACATATGATTCACATAGGTACACCTAGCTAAGGCAAACTACTGCGTCGCACAAAAAGAAACATGAAAAGCATAAAGAAATAGGAACCACACAGGTACGTACATACCCCCCTCAACCACCACCTCACCACCTCAAACAAACCTCCCACCCCTCCAGCCCCTCCTGCCCCCCAAACCCAGACCCAAACCCCTCACACCAACCCCCTTCCTCCCACCCCAACGAAGAATAATGGTCGGCCCAAAACGGCCTTCCCATCCCCATCCCCATGCGCTGCACCTCCCTCGTCAATTGCCCGACATCACAGCGCAACAAGCCCGCCTGCCCCATCCCACTCCCACTTCCAACCCCATCTCTAGCCTCCCGGTTCCGGCCCCGACACGGCCGCGGCGGCGGCTTGACAGCCCGCTCGCGCTCGCCACACCCCCCGTCGCCAATCAGCTGCGCGCCGCCGCGTCGCCCTCCTCCGAGCCGCAGATGCCGGCTCCGCGAGCGCGTCCCCTCGCGCACGCAGCGCCAGCGCTCGACACGGGAGCGGGAGCGGCTGCGGCGGCGCTCGCAGTCGCCTGCGCGGCCTCTTTGCTCGTACCTGCCAGCACCGACGGCAGCGCCACCATAGCCGCCGCCGTAGCCGTAGCCGTAGCCGCCGTAGCCGTCGTCGTCGTCGTCGCCGTCGCCCAACGCCCGCATGAAAGCCCGCCACAGCCGCTGCCGCTCCGGCACGTTTGCGTGCGTGTAATACCGCTCCTCCAGCACGACGTCCGGGCGGGCGCGCACAAACTTCTGCAGAAAAGCGAGCTGCTCGCGCTCCGTCAAGTCGGAAATCGTGATGGCCCAGGCCCAGAGGAGGAGCGTGCGCGCCGGCTCCGCATGCAAGATGACGTCCGCGTGGGCGGCGAAGAAGCGGGCAAGCAGGGCCGCGAGACGGGGCGAGCCAAACCGCCGCGACATGTCTGCCAGGCAGAGGAACGTCGCGAACGTCTCTTGACGACGCACCCGCGAGCGCGTGTGGAAAGAGTCTTGCAGCGCGCATTGGTCGAGCCAGAGCGCGAGCGCGCGGTCTGTCTCTTGGCTGCCGGCGTGGTCGGCCTGCCGGAGGTGCTTCAGGAATTCTTGGGTTGTTTCCTGCACTGCGCGCTGCGTGAGGATCCCTTCGATCAGCGGCCGCGAGCTCGCGGTGTACCGGTCCATGTCCATCCAGTTGCTGTGTCCGATGACGCGCTCGGCGGCGGGGAGGTACGTTTGGATGGTGCTGATGTCGATGGTTTCGCAGCGAGAGCCGCATTGGATCGACACGTATCTGTCCCCGTCCGACATTCTGGTTGCTCGTCTGGGCATTGTGGTTGCTTGATCTGGCGACGATGGTGATGAGGGATGAGTTTTCTGGTAAAGCGATAGCGGGCTGTCTGTCTGTCTCTTGCTCTAGCAGCGTTTTCGGATCAATAAATGAGGAATCGGGATATTCCAAGGTCGAGACCCAAATAAATATTAATGATGAATGCGATACAATCGCAAGTGGTTCTTCTTTGTCAGTCCGACGGGTACCGGTCAGTTTGCTGTTCCACGGTGCGACGTTTGCCCACCGACAGTGTCAGCGCTGCTCAGCGAGCAGTAAAGCACGCGCAAGCCGCGACTCCAGCAAACACAGACCAAAAGCTTCGTTGAAGAGCTACGTCGTAAGCAAGGGATCTATAGAGTGGGGGCTCCAAGGCTTTTTAAACGCAAAGGCTCAAACAAGGCAACAAGGCAGCAGCCGCGGGCCAGAAAAACAGCCTTGCGCTGGCCTGGCTGCAGGGCGGGCAACAACCCTAGCGGCCGGCCGCAGCCATCACGCGGTTTACGCATACACGCCGGATGGCTGCGTGCAGAATTCTATCTGTCAGATGAGGCGCAGAGCTGCGCTTACATTGCGGGTATATAGGCACAGCCAAAACGAGCTGCGACGGTCGAGCTGGTCACTACAGTACCATCGGGTTGCTAGAAAGGCATCCGTCGGTATGCGCGGTTGCGGTTTGCGTGGCCTTTCGCACACCCTGGTCGCTGAAGGGATGGAATGTTTACGTGCAGTCAGTACTGAGTGAAAGACGATGCGATGGAGGCGTCTTTCGACAGCCCGAAGCGGTGGTCAGGCTGGATCGGTGGAGCCAGTTGCGACTGTGTTGAAAGCGATATCTGTGCCCGTATAGAGCAGCAATGTTAGAGCCAAAAGGCGCCATTACTCACTCCGAGCACCTTCGTTTCGAACAATAGGCGCAGCTATCCAAACTGGTTAAAGACGGTGTGGGACAAGGCTGCACGCTACCAGCTGACCGGGTCTGCGCTCTGCAAGGCTGAAAAGAAGGGCCCGGCTTGCATACACGCATGCATGAGAAAGCGTGCGCGCGGACGCGGAAGGGACAAGCTGCTTGCGCTTTCGAACGGCTTGGATGGCTTGAGGCCTGGTGTGGGATGGGGTGGGAGTTTGCGCTTTTGACAAGGTGGATGGAGGTGGAGGTGGTGGAGAGGTGAGGTGCAACATCGCAGTCCCGGCCCGCCGAACCGCTCCAAAAATAGGTAACCTAGAGTACTAAAGGTCCATCCGTGCGTGGCGGCCAACGTCAGAGGGCGTTGTCAACTCTCTCTCTATCTCTCTCGGAATCATCTCGTTCTTTCTCGAAAAGAGGGGGAGGTTAAGGCTTATGGCGCGTGCATAAATTAGGCTACTGTCCTACCGTTGCATTATGCTTGTGGCACCAGGGCTAGTTGTACAATCATGTTTTACAAAAAGTAGTAAAACCAAAATTATTTCTTCGCACACCTAGGTTGGTGGCTCGCGTCGAGAAGTGTTGCTTTTTGTCGTTCTAAGTATATTTACTTTGGAGCTCTCATTGCAATTCCCTTAAAAATCTGCAAAAAAAATGCGTTGGAAAAAGGGAAAGTGTTTAAATTATTATATCTGCAACTTCTGGTCGTAGTTCTTATAAGATTTAAATCGTGACAGCTTCTATCACTGTCGGTGGAGGGAAACCTAATACCTGGAAGATGGAAAACAATCACTGCGCAAGGAGCAAATGTATACCTAAGCATTTACCCAGAAGTCCACACCAGGCGATTGAATACCGTCATTCAATGAGCATGGCAACCCGATCTTTTACATGCAAATCTAGGCAGACGAGGGTGTGCTAGTTCTACACCTGCTATTGCTGAGGAGGCGATTGAATAAGTCTTGTGAAGCCCTGACCGTCAACACTCACTGTTTAGTATACCAAGTATGTGTTAAACCGGAAGTGAGGTGAATATCCCATACCTAAATGGAGAAGCGAGTTAACATACTCTATTAACCGCACACTGCCATACTACTTGCCCCCAAAACAAAACTTACGAAGTTCACTTCACATCGGCCGAGGCATCACCGTCTTATAGTCGACTCTCCGCGGCGGGTGCAGCAGTGACGCATCTCGAGCAGGGAAACCCGCCTACGAGTGTGAAAGGGATCCCCATCCGTCAACATCCCCAACGCGCTCCCGCGCAAACAAATCCCCGCCGCACCACCATCTCATTTCATCTCACACACTCCGCGATCCCTCCACACCAGAGCAACCACAACGACCCTCCAGCACGACCCTCCAGCACGACCCCATCCACCAACCACCATGGATGAGCAGAGCCGCTCTCCGTCCCCGCACCCCTCGGACATCGACCGCCCCTCCCCACTTCACAGGCCTCACGTACGCCCTCCCTCCGCCCCAACACAGGCGCATGGCATAGCCAAAACGCAGAACTAACCCGCAGAACAGGTCAAGCAAGAAGATGACGACTTCGAGATCATCGGCGCCCGCCCCGTGCACAGGGCCATGTCCATCGATGCCCGCCCCGCGTATGCCGAGAGTGAGGTCTCAGACACCGACAGCGTGCCTTCCACGCCCATGCGCACCCACATGCGCCGCAGGTCCGCCGCCGAGTCCCACACACTGCGCATGCCGCGCACACCGCATATGGGCGTCCTGAGCCGCTTCGCGGGGTGCACTGAGGCGGTCGACTCGGCGCGCAAGACGAAGGGCAAGGGCTCTGGCGTGCCGTCGACGCCGATGCGCCAGCGCAAGGTACGTCCTTGCTTCCCAGTCGTCCTTCGGCAGCAGCAGCAGCGCGCACGCAAGCGCACACACACACACGCACATCCATACACTTACGAAACCACGCCACCGCACGCACACGCGCTAACCCACCCTCACAGGCGCCCGCCAAGACACCGACAACTGGCACCAGGATCTCGACGAGCTTTGACGACCTCTCCGAAGAAGACTACCTGCTGATCGAGATGAAAGACTCGGGCAAAGGGTGGGAAGAGATCCGGGCGGCATGGCGCGACCTCACAGGGCAAGAGACGGCGAAGTCCACGCTGCCGAACCGTTACTCCCGTCTCAAGGCCAACTTGTCAAACCTCTCGGACCAGGACCTGCAGAATCTTGTTGACGCGAAGGCGGAGGTCGAGCTCGAGTTCGAGCAGGAGATGTGGGGGCGCATTCAGCAGCGCATGGCGGAGAAGGGCACTGTCGAGCGCCATAATGTGAGTTTTGCGGCTGTGTGTTGCTGCTGGCGGAGGAGAGGGGAGGGGGGTGCGGTGCGGTGCTGTTCTTGTTGTTGTTGTGGACATCGTGGCTAACGAGGCGTTATAGGTCGACTTCCTCAAGAAGCAGCTTAAGCGCGTGGAGGTGTTTCAGCACACCGCAGCCGGCAGGACCGCTCGAGGCATATTCGAGTCGCTGGCCGCTCTGCCCGGCGACATGGACACTGCCGAGTAGGCAGTTGTCGAGGAGGCAGCAGTCGAGGAGGCAGCAGTCGAGGAGGCAGCAGTCGAGGAGGCAGCAGTCGAGTAGGCAGCGGTCGAGTAGGTACGGAGGTAGTTGTCTCCAGCGTCAGTCAAGCACCAAGCAGCTCTCATCATCAAGCTCGTGTGTCCAGCCCATCAATAGCAAACAACAGCATCAACACACCCCAGCTCACCCTCTCATCCCATCGTCAGGATCGACAAAACACAAAACACAAAAGCGCAAACCGATCGACCAATCATTCCACCTCCTCAGCTCGACCAGCTCGACCAGCTCGACGCTCTTCCAAGTCTCGCTCTTTCCTTTTCCCGTTTCCGATCTCGCACTTGGGTAGGTATTCGGCTTCTCGACCCCAGGAGCAGAACATCCTCTGCGTTCCCCATCCCTAACCTAAGACGCCGAACAAGGCAAATATGGAACGATCGCAAGCCCGCGCGCAACATGGTGTCCAGCGGGGAGGTGGAGGTGGGAAGGAGGCGCAAACGAAGGCTAGGTAGGTTAGGTTAGGTTACAGAGCGAGCACCGCAACAACAACTCCGGAGCAGGACCCCAGTATATACCTACCCACCTAGCTAGACCAATGGCAAAAGCACTCCTCTCACCACATGATCGACGCGCGCCATCTCGCGATAAACAACCCCGCTCCCATTGGATGATTGGCGCACGCGTTATCGCGCGTCACGCGTCGTCGTGCGTCGTGCAAAAACCCAGGCTCCAGCAAGTGAGGTCGCTCGCAATCGCGCTTTATCAGCCGCACTAGTGCAAATCCCCGATAAGACACCTTAGCGAGCAACGCGAGCAACGCTGCACGCAATCGCCCTTGCTTGCTTGCCTTGCAAGGCCCACGGTCCACCCCACCCCACCCCATCCCAGGCAGCCCGGCTCCCGGTTTTCCCCTAACGCGGCACGCACGCGCCCAGAGCCCTGTGTCTAGAAGGCGAACGGCGAAGACAGACAAGAAGGAAAGAAGGAGAGAAGGATGCATGGATGGAAGGCTGGATGAGGGAGAAGGCACCACCTACCTACGACCTACTCCGTACATACGTGGCCATGAGGCCAACCAAACAGCCAACAAACAGCGCCAGACGCCCAATGCCCGCAAGCTAGAAGCATCCTGAATCGAGCTTAAGGAGGACGAAGTCGAGCTCGGCGCTCGGGACAAAAACGCACTTCGACCCTGAAACTCCCGTCCGCGGGCGAAACAGCACACGGGCGCGGCCCGCGGACCACGCTGCGCCCGCGCCGAGTACAGTATGTAATGGAATCTGGCGGCGACGGTATTGGGCCCGACTGTCGTCGCGACGACGGTGAGGGATCGCGTCGATGGATGCTGGCTGGCGAAAGCCTCTCGCCAGTGGCAGTGGCGCGCCCTGGGCGCTCCTGATGAGGCGAATCCGCTCACACGAGGCTCGTGCCATTCACGCCATTTTTGTGAGCCTACGGACGTCTGGTCTCTCCACCGCTACGTACTGTACCTACGTAGTAGGCCCGTCCTCCGTCCTGTGACTAACCAACTGCTTTGCTTGCGTGCTGCGTCGCCGCCGGCTAACCGACTTCCGAAGACGACGTTGCCAATTGATGCTTCGGTTTGTTTGCAATTGCTGCTCTGGAAGTCGTCTCCTCGGCGCTGCAGCGATAATGCCGTCTCTATTCGCGGTAGGGCGAGAGGTAGGGAAGCGATAAGGCGGCTACGCGTCGGCTGCTAGGGCGTGTTTTGGCTTTAGAGATAAGGGTGCGCCTTTTAGCGCAACTGCCGCACCCAGACCACCCCACCGCACACTGCCCTCTTTTTTTTTTTTTCTCTCTCTCGTTTTCCTCGCATATAATTCCGCGGCCATGCTTTGCTCTTGCGAGCAGGAGCTGCTTTTCCGGGGGCCGTGGGAAGATCGTGGTGTCAGACTAATGACGAAAGCTGACTCTGGCCGGTGCAGGGGCTCTCGAGTGCTACCCCGGTGCCCCATTCTCTGTGGCGTGTTTCCTCTCCGTTGACAAAAACTTAACTTACTATTCGCCTTCGGCCTCTTTCTTCTTTTTGTCCCATTGCTTGCTGTGTTACGTTGTTTTGCCCGTCTGACATTTTGATTCCCTTTCAGCAAACACAATGGCCATACAACCGGTAGAGGGTGAGAAGTTGCCGGTGAAACCGGTTGGAGTGTTCCCACCTACGCCCCCCGAGACGATCTTTGGCGATGCTTCGACGCCAAGCCCGCCAGAATACCCGCTGCCTCCACCAAGCAAGGCTCCCACGGAGGTGCTGGCGATTGACGAGAAGACACCTGACGCACATGTTCCCCGCGACCCCAGGTTAATCCGGCTTACTGGTGCCCACCCATTCAACGTCGAAGCCCCTCTTTCAGACCTGTACAACGAGGGTTTCTTGACCAGCCCCGAGCTGTTCTACGTCCGCAACCATGGTGCCGTACCCGAGGTCAAGGACGAGGAAATTCCGGATTGGGAGTTTACCGTGGAGGGACTGGTCGAAAACCCATTGAAGATCACCTTCCGGGAATTGCTCGAGGAATATGAGAACGTCACGTACCCCATCACACTCGTATGTGCGGGTAACCGACGGAAAGAACAGAACGTGGTCCGTAAATCGAACGGTTTCTCTTGGGGTCCGGCCGGTGTCTCGAATGCTCTGTTCACTGGCGTGGTCCTGGGAGATGTCCTAAGGAGGGCCAAGCCTCTAAGGAAAGCCAAATATGTCTGCATGGAAGGTGCAGACAAGCTCCCCAACGGCTACTACGGAACTTCGGTCAAGCTCAACTGGGCCATGGATCCAAACAAGGGCATGATGCTCGCACACAAAATGAACGGCGAGATGCTAACGCCGGACCACGGAAAACCCCTGCGCGTCGTCATTCCAGGCCAGATCGGTGGCCGCAGCGTTAAATGGTTGAAGAAACTGATCATCACCGAGGCGCCGAGTGACAACTGGTACCACATTTACGATAACAGAGTGCTGCCGACCTCGGTGACTCCGGAAGAGGCGGCGAACGACCCAAGGTGGTGGAAGGACGAGAGATATGCCATCTACGACCTAAACACCAACTCGGCGATAGCGTACCCGGCCCATGAGGAGCGGTTAGACCTGGCAACTGCACCCGAAACGTACAGCGTCAAAGGCTACGCGTACGGAGGCGGCGGCAGGCGAGTAACTCGAATGGAACTTTCCCTCGACAAGGGCAAGACGTGGAGATTGGCGAATATCGACTACGCCGAAGACCGCTATCGCGAGGCCGCCGTCGACCAGAAGCTCTTTGGCGGAAGGCTGGACATGGATTGGCGCGAGACATGCTTCTGCTGGTGCTTCTGGAACATCGACATACCGGTCAGCGAACTCAAGGAAGCCAGCGACATTGTCGTCCGAGGTATGGACGAGGGCTTGCATATCCAGCCGAGAGACATGTATTGGTCTGTTCTGGGTATGATGAACAACCCCTGGTTCCGGGTCACCATTAGTCTGGAAAACGGTGTCCTCCGCTTCGAACACCCAACACAGCCCGCGCTCATGCCAGGTGGTTGGATGGAGAAGGTTAAGAATGCGGGCGGAAACCTGACCAACGGCTTCTGGGGCGAGAAGATTGGCACCAACGAGGAGGCGGAGGTGGTTACGGTGGAGCCGGTCAAGGAGATTAAGATGACCAACGATAAAGTCAACAAAGCCATCTCAATGCAAGAGGTGAAGAAGCATGACGGCGAAGAGTCTCCCTGGTTCGTGGTAAACGGCGAGGTTTATGACGGAACGGAGTTCTTGCAGGGGCATCCAGGCGGCGCGCAGAGTATTATTTCTGCTGCCGGCATGGACAGTACCGAGGAGTTCATGGCAATCCGTAAGTCCCCGCTTTGTGTGACACATAGACAAGCACTGACACATGACGTGAAACAGACAGCGAAACGGCGAAGAAAATGATGCCGAAGTACCACATAGGCACGCTGGATGAGGCTTCGAAACGCAAGCTGAGTGAAGGTGTGGAGGAGCCAGAGGAGCCCGAGGAGCCGCGAGAAGTCTTCCTCGACGCCAAGACCTGGCGGAAGGCGCTCATCGACACCAAGCAAACCATCTCGGCTGACACGCGCATCTTCACCTTTAAGCTCGACCATGAGAACCAGACCCTCGGGTTGCCCACAGGCCAGCACTTGATGATGCGGCTGCGGGACCCTGTAACGCGGGAGGCCATCATCCGCAGCTACACGCCACTGTCAGAGTCGTCGCAGAAGGGCACCTTGGACGTGCTGGTCAAGCTTTATCTGAAAACAGAAACGATGCCGGGCGGTAAGATGACGACGGCGCTAGACTCGCTGCCGCTGGGCCACCCGGTCGACCTCCGCGGACCCATCGGCAAGTTCGAATACCTTGGCGCGGGTGCCTGCAGCATTAGTGGAGTGCGGCGCGACGTCAAGCACTTTGTGCTGATCTGCGGCGGCAGCGGCATCACGCCCATCTTCCAGGTGCTGCGCGCGGCCATGAAGGACGTGCCGGGGCCGGGACCGACGTGCACTCTGCTGGACGGCAACCGCACCGAGGGCGACATCCTGTGTAGGGAACAGCTGGACGCGTTTGCGGCCAAGCACCCCGATCGCTTCAACTTGGCCTATGTGCTGTCGAACGCGTCTCCGGAGTGGACGGGGCTGAAGGGCTTCATTGGGAAGGAGGTGCTTGGCAACTACGCCAAGCCGCGGGACGACGCGCTCGTGCTGCTGTGTGGACCGGAGCCGATGGATCGGGCAGTGCGGGCGGTGCTGGTAGAGATGGGTTGGAAGGAGAAGGATATGTTGTCTTTCTAACCAACTATGAATCGATGGGCGCTTTGGGGAAGGAGGGGGAAGGGGAAGGTGGGATCCATTTGCTGGCGCTGGGTTTTGGCGAGGCGTTGAAGGTTCCTTCCATTGCTACAATATTGCTAGGTCGCTGCTTCCTTTTCGTAGATGCATTCCGTTGTAGTAGGTTCCTCCTACCTAATTGCAGACACTTACCTACACACACATTGCAACCATGGATTGTCCAATTCGCCTGCACCGAACCGCACCGCACCGCACCTCCCACCCTGTCCCTAGGGGTCTCGTAGCCTCCCGCCAACCACAATCCCCCTAATGGACCCTGAAAAGCCTCCGCGCGAGTTTCGGGCGTCGTCTCGTACCACGCAAACGCAAACGTCAAGCGCAAAGCTGCCAACTGCCCTCACGCCACCGAACAGAAGACGCTCAGCCCAGGCGGTATTGCCCAAGGGCGCGGACCCCCCTGGCGCCCCACAAGCGCGATGTGCACTTCCCCGGAGATACAACTCCGCTTATCGCGCCCGGATCGGCGGCTTATCGGTGCGCGGGCTGATGCGCGGAGACGCATCCATGCCTGACAAACACGAGCAGCGCCACTGGCTGGCCAGACGAAGAGGTGGCGTGAAGGGCCGCCCGCGGAGGTACGGTACTCTATGCTGCGCGTGTGTTGTGTGGGATGGCCGGCGCGTGTGGTCGTGGTGGTAGTGTTGGTGGTGCGGCGGCCTTGTGCGAGATGCTTTTCTTACTGTACTGCTGCCACCTTCTCTTCTTTCTTTGCTCGGACATTCTCACTGCTCTTTACACTTACTCATTTCTTGCTTCTTCTGCCTTGCTTCGTGATACCCCCTCCTGCTGCTCCCCATTGAGCGAGCAGGGCCCCCTTCGCCATGAGCAACAGTGAGTGGAACGATGCCGAGGCCAACCGCCTCCCCGAGAAGGTCGAGGAGCTCCGCCTGAATGGCGAGCTGCCCCAGAACACCAAGCGGAAGAGGATAGTCGTTGTGGGTTTGGGCATGGTTGGCATTGCCTTCATGTAAGTATCACTATGCTTCGGTGGAAGTAATATCAAAAGCTGACAATTCCTGTGCAGAGAAAAACTATTGAAGCTTGATGTCAAGCGTCGCGAGTATGACATTATTGTCATTGGTGAGGAGCCGCATCTGGCATACAACCGTGTCGGCTTGACGAGCTTCTTCCAGCACCGTCAGGTCGAGAACCTGTACCTGAACCCGAAAGAATGGGTGAGTAAAACTACCTATCTACAAATGAGAAAGCATGTTCTGACACTATCTAAACAGTACGCGAGCATGCCCGATGGCTCGCTCAACTACCACATCAACACGCTCGTCACTGAAATCGTGCACTCCGAGAAGGTCGTCAAGACGGCTGCCGGCGACGTCGTGCCCTACGACATCTGCGTGCTGGCCACTGGCTCCAATGCCTTGATCCCGGCGCACACACCCGGCTGGGATGCCAAGGGTGTCTTCGTCTACCGCACAATCGATGATTTGGAGAAGCTTATTGAGTTCTCGGCTACCAAGAAGGGTACGACGGGTGTGGTTGTTGGTGGTGGTCTTCTGGGCCTTGAAGCCGCCAAGGCGATGATGGATCTCGAGGAGTTCGGAAAGGTGAAGATTATCGAAAGGAGCCGCTGGCTGCTGGCAAGACAGTGCGATGAGGAAGCGGGTACTATGGTTGCCGATCAAGTCAGGGACCTGGGTCTGGATGTTCTGCTCAGCAAGCGGGTGGGCGAGATCACTACCAACGAAAAGAATGAGGTCACGGGCGTGAAGTACGAGGACGGCGAGGTGATGGACTGCGCCTGCGTCTGCTTTGCGGTAAGTTCCTCGCGGATCAATTTCACAGAATTAGGCTGACAAAAACTAGATCGGTGTCAGGCCTCGCGACGACCTTGCACGCAAGGCCGGCATCAAGATCGCTGACCGCGGCGGTATCGCCGTCGGCGACGACCTCTCTACCTCTATCCCCGACATCTACGCCATCGGCGAGTGCGCAAGCTGGGAGAACCAGGTTTACGGCCTGATTGCCCCTGGTGTGGAGATGGCCGATGTCCTGGCCTTCAACCTCACGCAGGCCAAGGCCCACGCACCTCGCAAGTTCAAGCGTCCCGACCTCAGTACCAAGCTCAAGTTGCTCGGCGTCGAGGTTGCAAGTTTTGGCGACTACTTCGCTGACGTCGACGGCCCGTCCATTCCTCTCCCTCCGCGTGCTGCCGGGAAGAACGAGGAATCCAAGAAGAAGGACGTCCTAAAGGCTCTGACGGAGGGACCGCCAGCCCCGCCAATCAAGGCCTTGGTGTACAAAGACCCGTTCCAGCAGGTGTACAAGAAGTACCTCTTCACGCTGGATGGCAAGTACTTGCTGGGTGGTATGATGATCGGAGACACCAAGGATTACATCAAGTTGTTGCCAATGGTCAAGAACCAGAAGATGTTGGAAGTTCCTCCAAGCGAGTTCATTGTCGGCGCACAGAAGGAGGGTGGCGATGATGACCTCGAGGACGATGCACAAGTTTGCTCCTGCCACAACGTCCTCAAGGGTGACATTGTCAAGTCAGTCAAGGACGGCACTTGCAAGAGCATCGGCGACGTCAAGTCCTGCACCAAGGCCGGAACCGGATGTGGTGGCTGCATGCCCCTTGTGCAGACCATCTTCAACAAGACCATGGAGTCGATGGGCCAGGAGGTCAAGAACCACCTCTGCCCTCACTTCGAGTACTCGCGTGCCGACCTGTTCCACATAATCTACGTCAAGAAACTCCAGAGCTTCGCCGAGGTCATGAAGCAATGCGGAAAGGATCCCGAGTCCGTCGGATGCGAGGGCTGCAAGCCTACCATCGGTTCCATCCTCGCCTCCCTCTTCAACAAGCACATTGTCGACAAGGAGCGCCGTGGACTGCAGGATACCAACGACAAGTACCTGGCCAACATGCAGCGCAACGGCACCTTCTCCGTCGTGCCGCGCATGGCAGGTGGTGAGGTCACTCCTGAGAAGCTCATCATCATCGGCACTGTGGCCAAAAAGTACGGCTTGTACTGCAAGGTCACTGGTGCTCAGCGTCTCGACATGTTCGGCGCCAAGAAGCAGGACCTGCCCGCCATCTGGCAGGAGCTCATCGACGGCGGCATGGAGAGCGGTCACGCGTACGCCAAGTCGCTGCGCACGGTCAAGAGCTGCGTCGGCACGACATGGTGCCGTTTCGGTATCGGTGACAGTGTCGGCATGGCGGTGCGCCTGGAAGAGCGCTACAAGAGTATCCGCGGCCCGCACAAGTTCAAGGGTGGTGTGTCCGGATGCGTGCGCGAGTGTGCCGAAGCGCAGAATAAGGACTTTGGTCTCATCGCCACGGAGAAGGGCTTCAACATCTTCGTCGGAGGCAACGGTGGCGCGAAGCCTCGCCACTCGGAGCTGCTGGCCAAGGACGTGCCGCCCGATGATGTCGTGCCCATCCTGGACCGCTACCTCAGCTTCTACATCCGCACGGCAGACAAGCTTCAGCGCACGGCGCGTTGGATTGAGAACCTGCCGGGTGGAATCAAGTACCTGCGCGAAGTAATACTGGAGGACAAGCTCGGCATCTGCGCGGATCTCGAGAAGCAGATGGAGCAACTGGTGGGCTCGTACTTCTGCGAGTGGACCGAGGTGCTGAAGAACCCGGAGCGCAGGAAGCAGTTCACGCAGTTCGGCAACACGGAGGAGACGATGGAGCCGGGCGTGGAGAAGATCACGGAGCGGGCACAGCAGCGGCCGGCGTACTGGCCAGCGGACAGCGCGACGGTCGACTTCCGCAACCAGAAGTGGAGCGAGCTCGCATGGCAGCCACTGATCGAAGCGGCGCGGTTCGCGGACGCGCCCACAGGCGACAGCGTCGCGGTCAAGCGCGGCGAGACGCAGTTGGCCGTGTTCAAGATCCACGGCCGCTACTACTGCACGCAGCAGATGTGTCCGCACAAGCGGGCCTTTGCGCTCGCCGACGGCCTGATCGGCGACGCGGCGCCCGCGGACGGCTCGACGGAGCGCAAGCTCTGGGTCAGCTGCCCGCTGCACAAGCGCAACTACGAGCTCGGCGGCAAGGACGCAGGCAAGTGCGGCAACGATGACAGCCTGAGCATCGCGACGTTCGAGGCCGAGGAGCGCAAGGACGGCTGGGTCTACGTCAAGCTGCCTACCGTTGAGGAGCTAGATGCTGTCCTGGCGACTGATAAGTGGCGCGTCAAGAAGGGCGAGGGCAAGGACCCTTTCGAGGCCCTGGATAAGAAGTTGCCGGCTATTGGCGCCAAGGGCCGCAAGGTTGATGGCGCGAGCGGCTTGCCTGGTGGGAAGGGCATGGAAGGGAAGGCGAAGGCGATTTTGAAGGGCGAGGAGGCTGGTGGGCTGGATTGGTAGGTACGCTGCTGCTGTTTTGTGAGGGCGGTGTTGGGGTTCGGGTTGGGCGTTTGGTGCTTGTTGGTGTAATGGGGCTGAATGAATGCTTGGGTGGGTGGGTTGCTTTGAGATGGGTTGGGCGGACTTGCATACTTAGGCAGAAGGTTAAATGTACATGATATAGTGTAGTTGTACCGAAGACGTATTGGCTCGCCTTCACTTACACAGTTCTTGATCTAAGTGATAGATAGCTACATCCACGGTCCACCCATCCGTCTACTTACAATAACTTCCTTAGTCCTCACTGCCTCTCTACTCTATTCAGTGTACCTTAAGTAGGCATATACCTAGACCATACCTAGTGATAGTGAGCGATCTACAAGCTGCTCGAGGCTATAACGCAACCAACCTAGCTTAGTCTAGCTTAGCCTGTTAGGTAGGCTCCGCCCGGGTAAATCTGCTGCTGGCCTGCGGGCGGAGATCGACTTTCCTGTCTTAGCTGCGCGTGGTTCTTGGCTTGGCTTGGCGGGTGGGGGTAGTGGTGTGGGTGTGGGGGTTGCGAGGGAGGGGGTAAAGCAGAAAGAACTGTTCGCGGTATACAGAGCTGTTAATTATATGATAGTGACTATTGGGGTGGGACGAGCGGTATAACGTGTAAGACGCTGGTGCTGGTTTGTGTGTGTATGCTTGCTTTGTTGGCTGGATGCTGGGTGGTGCGAGGTTCTGAGTCGATGGCTGCGTGGGGTGGAAAGGTGGGGGAGGCGGTGCTAGTGCTTGTGGTTGTAGGTACAGCGCGGGGTATGAGCGCGTCAAGCGCTTTTTACCCGCGCTTTGGTGTCGGTGCTGTAGTCCTAGTTTCTTGTTTCTGGTACCTTGGGTATTGAACGCGGGGATGGGGCTGTGTTTGTTTTGGTTTGTTGGGTCGTGGCTGTGGCGGATTGCGATTGAAGGGGGTGGGCTGGAGGGAAGCTAGGGGGATTTTTGTGGAGGGTGCTTGTGGGTGCTGGTGCATTTGGTTGGGCGCGCTGCGGTGGTGTTTGGTTTGTGGGTTGTGTTGCGTGTTTGCTCCGCGGGTAAGACAGAGTTTGTTTATGTATGCTTAAGACTTCAGCATACTAGAACAAAGTATCCTTCTGTCACGGCAATGAGGCGGATTCAAATCAGATTGCGTAGGATTGACTACAAGACGTGGTACGAAGAGGAAAGGAAGAGAACGAGAGGCGGCGGCCATATATATAGCTCGCTAGTAGGCGCTAGGCGCTAAGCAAGGGATAATAAGCGAAACATAAACAAACAACAATTAGCAAATAACAAACAAAGACAAACCGTTAGCTAGCGCTTGCTGGTAAGAACTGCAAGGAACGCGCTAGAAACCCGT